TATATATATATATATATATATATATATATATATATATATATATATATATAAAATGCATGTGGGTACTCAAATGAAAGGTCTTGATGAGTATAACATCGGGATGGGCTTATATCTTTAATATCGTCAATAGTTAAGAAAATACAGTGCAATTTAACAAATATAGTTTACAAGTCACGGAAGTCACACAGTGACTGCAAGGTTGCTAGTTTAATTGTTAAAAAAATTAATGGGAATTAATTTAGCAGATATTTAATAAGTTAAAAAAATTTTTTAACTAATAAATTATGGCAAAAAAATATTCATTTGTAGAAATTAAAAACATTTAAAAATACAAGAAAATAAAAAAATTATCAAATGACAGCTAAATTTAATGTCATAAGTTAGCCAACCTTTGCAATTTTTTTTACAAATGAAATTTTTTTGTAATAATTTTCTCAATAAAAAAAACTAAAAATTTTTAGATGTCTGTTAACTTAATTTTCATAAATATTTTACGTCTGTCAAATTTGAAGTTAATTAAAAAAATTGACAGAAATTTTTATACAAAAATTTTTTAAATTATCAAATATCTGTTAAATTAATTTTTACGGCTAACTTTATTCTTATAATCCTTATATCTACCTGAATTTTAGCGCCCTTGTATTTAATACAACCAGGAACAGTTGTCAGTGTCGTAAACTCATAAGCTGCAACTTCGGAATAAACACCAGCCAAAGTACTCAGCAGAGTAGACTTCCCGACACTGGGAAACCCAACAAACCCAATCCTAGCATCACCAGTCTTAGCGACTTCAAAGCCCTGTTCTCCGGCACCTCCGCCGCCTCCTTTTGGAGTTATCAGCTCGCGTCTCAATTTAGCAAGCTTTGCTTTCAGAGTTGCCAAGTGACCTGACGTAGCTTTATTTTTTTGCGTGCGGCTCATCTGTCAAAAAATTACATAGAGTGTAAATAATTCATAAAAATATTTTTAATTATTAACATTGTAATTTTAGTTCATCTAGGTTACCTCCGACTCGATGGCCGCAATTTTCTCCAGTATTGTACTCATCTTGGATTTTTATTTATTTTAAACTCCTGGTATTTATATTCACTATAACAATAATTTTTTTAATCCGACAATTAGTTATCTCAATAATAACATTATAATTTTTATTATTTATTATTTATTACACGTGTCCGCAATTATTGTGCGGTTGGAAACTGAAAAGAAGTAAAAGAGCATAATAATGAAATGTGTGCTGCCATCTAGCGGCTAAATTTTAGAAGTATTTTTTTTACCAGTTCATGATATTGCAGCTGCGCAGTTCATAAAAATTAATCAGCTGTTTGATATTAATTACTATAAATTTTTAACAAATAAATTATAGCAAAAAAATTTAATTTATTTTTAAGTAATTTTTTAGACAAAAATAAAATTTTAAAATGGCTGCTAATGACACTGAAGTTGACAGACGTTAAAAATTTTTTTAGAATTTTATAATAATTATATTATTATAAAAAAAAAATTAATTAAAAAATTCTACATCTAAAAATTAATAAAAGTTATAAGTGAAAATTTTTAGAAGCATTTTTTTAATAATAAAAAAGTTAGCCGACATTTTTGATTTTTTTATTATTAATTTATTAAATTATAACTAAAAAATATTTTTAAAAAGTTGCACTTATAGTTTTTTAAATTTTTAAGATGCAAAAAAAGTTTTTTTTTACTTTATTGTAATAATTCTTTAATAGAAAAAATCATAAAAATTTTCAAATGTCGGCTAACTTCAGTGTCATGGCTGCTAATTTAACGGTCATGCGCAGTTCTGAGAATTTTGAATTGAACAACGGACAAAAGTCTAGACTCCTACAATTTATTATGATTATTTATAATCAAAGTAATAAAAAACAATTTTTAAAGGTAATAATTGTAATAAAAAGAAAAAAACAAATTATTTATTTGTAATTTAAATTTATTTTTTTTTAAATTCTATTTTAAATATGAAAAGTTTCCGTTAAAGTCGTTGCGACGCCATTTTGTATTGACGCTGCACAAAAAGCCGGGAACAAAGGTGCGGAGTGACGTTTCGCGTAAATTTGTTGATTTTTTATTGTTTTTTATTGTTGTTATGTGTAATTATTGTTTAAATAATGTTTTTATTTATTAAATAATACTAGATAATTTAAATTATGAATAAAAATGAATTAATAAGTGGAAAATTGATACTCCAAATTGATGGTTTGGTGTCGCTTTACCAATCTTTGTGCTGTTTTGAGTGTTTTGGTGAATTGAGTGTTAAATATTAAGTGTTTTTATAAAAGTTGTTGATTAGTTATGTGTTAATTATTGGTGAGTGATTTTTATTAATGTGCTGAATGATGAGAAGTGATCAAATTGGATACATCAAGAATTTAAAATAGATACATGAAGAAATAAATTATCTGTGAAGCTGAATCTTAACCTTCAAGGTATTTTAAATTTATTTAACAAAATTAATAATTAAGTTAGCCGACGTTTTTAATTTTTTTTTAATTATTAAGCTGGAACTAAAAAATATTTATTAAAAATAAATGAAAATGAAGTTAGCCGACTTTTAAAAATTAAAAAAACAATTTTTTATTGAAAAAAATGACTAAAAAAAAATTGTCAATTGTTAAAAACTTAAAAAACTGTAAGTGCAATTTTAAAAAAATATTTTTTTGTTCTAATTTAATTATTAAAAAAAAATTAAAAACGTCGGCTAACTTTAGTATCATTAAGAATTAATAACAAATAAATTATTGCAAAAAAAAATTGACGTAAGAAATTAAAAATATAATTTTTTTAAAAATAGTTTTTCAAAACAAATTTTTTTTTAATTTTAGGTTTCAAGTAAGTCAATAAGTGTCAGTAAGTGCTAGTTAAAAAGTCTTCAGTTTTTTTATAAAGTTATCGGTATATTTTTAGTCAGTGATAAAAATTAGTAATGAGTGTAGTAAAAGTGTGTAAAGTGAAAAGTGTCTGTTAATTAAAATTTATTATAATTTTCTCAATGGATTACATGAAGAGCTCCAAATGGATCACATGAAGAACTCAAAAGAATGTCGAGCTGAATCTGAAGGTAAGTGAAATTATTATTATAATTAAAAATCTAATTTACAATCCTCAATTTTATCCAACAAAAAATCAGGGACAATATTTTCCAGACATTGATATTAATCCTAAAAAAAACTTCTTAAGTAATCAACGATTTTTAATTAAATAATTTAAGTAATAAGGTCAAAAAGACAAGAAAAAGCTGTAAGATAAAAGTAATATTTTTTATCCAATTATATTTATCAAAAAATAGTACGAATAATACTACAAAAAATTCATGCTTTCTTCACCATATCTTTTGCCATCGCTCGAAGTTCTCTTTTAGAAATTTTCTTTGAAGTCGTATAAGGCATCTTGTCTAAGAAACAAATACCACCGCGGAGTTTCATTCTATCCTGTAAATTTTTTTCTACAGCCTCATGAATTTCAGTCTCGGTAACCTGGAATAAAAATTGCAATCATAAATAAAAAAAAGAAATAATACTAAAGTTAGCTAACATTTTTTATTTTTTTTTTATTTATTAAATTAGTATAAAAAAATATTTTTTAAAAATTAGACGGCTAATTTTTATAAAAAAAAAAAAAAAACCAATTAAAGTGAAGAATTCTTAAAAACTAACCTGCATCCCAGGAACTCTGGTTACAAAAGCCATTGGAAGTTCTAGATCTTCAAGACTTGGTTTTGCAACAACAGCTACTTCAGCGACCCCTGGAAGCTCTTGTATCACATTTTCAATGGCCGCTGGTGCCACATGATGAAGGCGATATTTTATCAGCTCTTTTATTCTTTCAACAATGAAAAAATCGCCGTCTTCGTCATAGTATCCCAAATCTCCAGTGTGGTACCATCCTAGAATCAAAAATGGCTAATTTATTCTCTTGGAGCTTCTCTTGGAGCTTAGGTGATAATTATAATTATTTATACTCGTACTGTGTACCTTCAGAGTCAATAACTTCTTCAGTAGCTGTTGGGTTATTCCAATAGCGAGTCATTAGCATCAGAGTTCTGCAACACAACTCGCCTTGTTCATTTGGTCCCATGATTCTATTCGTTTCAGGATCAACTACTTTCACTTCTGTGTTGAAGAATACTTTTCCGCAGGAAGTTAATTTTGGATAGGCTACTTTTCCACCTGTTGCAGCTCCGCATTCCGTGCTTCCTAATTTTACAGACTTCTATAATTACTTAGAGTTTTAAATTTTAGAAAATTTCACTAGAAATTGCACAGTACTTTCTTAACTATTGACGTTTTTAAAGATATAAATTCATCCCGATGTTACACTCATCAAGAGCTTTCATTTGAGTACCCACATACATTTTAATATATTTTTCATATATACATATATATAATATATATAAATATATGAAAAATTGATGTGGGTACTTAAATGGAAGGTCTCGATGAGTATAATGTCGGAATGAGCTTATATCTTTAAAAATGTCAATAGTTCACAAGATACAAGGTCATTTCTTCATTATTAGCATTTTTAAGATAATAAATTCATTTCGATGTTACACTTATCGAGACCTTTCATTTAAGTACCCACATGGCATTTTTATATATTATATATATATGGTATTTGTGAAATATATATAAATATATAAAATATATGAAAAATTGATGTGGGTACTCAAATGAAAGGTCTCGATGAGTGTAACATTGAGATGAGCTTATATTTTTAAAAATGTAAATATTTCACAAGATACAATGTCATTTCTTAATTATTGACATTTTTTAAAATATAAACTCATCTCAATGTTACACTCATCGAGACCTTTCATTTAAGTACCTACATGACTTTTTATATATATATATATATATATAAATATATGAAAAAGGTACTTGTAGTCAGGATGTTCCCGCTTGTGGATCACTCTCAGCCGGTCTGCTTCTTCGATGAAAGGTTTTTTGTCGTTCTCCGACAGAAGTCTGAAGCAGAAAAGAGCGATTGCATGTCAGTGGATTGAAATTTTGCTCGCGGAAAAAACATTATCCGGATACGCGACGCAGCTCAACTTAACTCAAGGGTTTCTGGTTAGTGTTTCGACGGTGGTGATACTTGTTCCGAAGCATTAAGGGCTACTTGAACGGTATATTACTTGTGTCGTGTAATGTATCACTTGTCACTTTTTGTTTTTTTTTATTTATCGGCCGAAAAGAGAAAAAGATTGTTTATTTTTTGTATAATATTTAATACTTTATTTAAGTTTTAAATAACAAAGAAATTACGTTGCATTTTGTCTACTGATGATATTTTTAACGATATAAGCTCATCGTGGAGTTACACTTATCGAGACCTTTTATTTGAATACCCACATGAAATTTTTTATATATTTTATATATATGGTATTTGTGAAATATATATAAATATATAAAATATATGAAAAATTGATGTGGGTACTCAAATGAAACGTTTTGATGAGTGTAATGTCGAAATGAGCTTATATCTTCAAAAATGTCAATAGTTCACAAGATACAAGGTCAATTATGTTTCTAGACCTTTGCAATGACACTAAATTTCACTGAAAAAAAAACCGATTTTATCATACGACTATCCTGGACACAAAATTTTTCTTATTCTCTTATTAATATATTAGATAAGTGAATTCTTGCATAGTATTGATGAATAAAAAAAAAATACCATATGCAACATAAATGTCCGCATTCTTAAACAAATTTTTCAAAGCTTCAATGACCTCTTTGGTAGCAATTCCTCCTCCATAACTCACAATCTTCAAAGAAGACACATCATACTTCCAGGCTTCTTTTGTTTTGCTAAGCCTGTTAGCTGTGCTCGCTCCCATGGACATCCTCGTAACCTAAAACATTTTTTCTCAATTAAAGTCTCTCCCACTTTGCAAGCAAAAAAAACAAACCTTATATTTTTCAACTAGTCTGCAGGCGTCTTCTTCGCTCAAATTATGATAAACAATCATGGTGGCTTTGGCGATAATTGACCGTAAGACTGTTAGTAGCCCTGACATCCAGCAAAGCCCGGAAAACCAGAGAACAATTTGCGGCGTAGTGTCAGGCGGGTAGTAACTTATCATACTAACGAATGATTGATAAGTGTGCAAAGCTCCCTTGGGGTAGCTCATTGTTCCCGAGGTGTAAAGAATAATCATCGGGTCCTTGGCTTCTATCTTGGTGCATTCAAATTTATTTACTTCTTCAGCGCTTGGAGCTTTTAGAATGTCTTGGAAAGGCATGTTGAATTTTTCGCTGAAGAAGACTACTGGCAGAGAACTTTCCATTGTTTTTAGCGCTTTTATTATTATTTCTGCGTTGTCTTCGTCGCAGAATAAAACTTTTGGGTTAGTCGTTTTTACAAAATACATTACAAGGTCTGTTTAATAGAGAAATTATTTGATTAAAAATTAATAATTAATTTTGGAGTATAAAAATTATGTTAAATAATTATTAAAAATAAATTTATCGAAAGTTTTAACATATAATCTTAAATTAAAAATTTTTAACTCAAGAAAATTTCTGCTTGCATAAAAAAAAATAAAATTTTTTAAAATTAGTTTCTTAATTTAAGATTTTTTTCTCTTGAGCGAGATAAAAAAAGTTTTTTTTAGACACTAGATTAGAAATTAAATAAAAAATACCTTCATTTAAACAACTGTCCCACCAGGGATTGAAAATGGCTCCTAAATAAAAAGAAGCTATCATTGGAATGCAACTATCCATATGATTTTTTGTACACAACCCAACGACATCTCCACGATCTACTCCGAGTTCTTTCAGCCACACTGCGCATCTGATACTTCTGTCGCCCATGCATTCATAAGTGTCTTTTTTCCCACTCGCGCCATCAATCTGCAGAAAAATAATCTATATTATTAAGAGAATTAGTAAGAAATGACCTTGTATCTTGTGAACAATTGACATTTTTAAAGATATAAGCTCATTCCGACATTACACTCATCAAGACCTTTCATTTGAGTACCCACATAAATTTTTCATATATTTGATATATTTATATATTTCACATATACCATATATATATATAAAATATATAAAAATGTCATGTGGGTACTTAAATGAAAGGTCTCGATGAGTGTAACATCGAAATGAGTTTGTATCTTAGAAAATGTCAATAATTAAAAAATGACATTGTATCTTGTGAACTATTGACATTTTTAAAGATATAAGCTCATCCCGACATTACACTCATCAAGACCTTTCATTTGAGTACCCACATAAATTTTTCATATATTTGATATATTTATATATTTCACATATACCATATATATATGAAATATATAAAAAATGCCATGTGGGTACTTAAATGAAAGGTCTCGATGAGTGTAACATCGAAATGAATTTATATCTTAAAAAATGTCAATTATTAAGAAATGACCTTGTATATTGTCAACTATTGACATTTTTGAAGATATAAGCTCATCCCGACATTACACTCATCAAGACCTTTCATTCAAGTACCCACATCAATTTTTCATATATTTATATATATTATATATATGTATATATGAAAAATATATCAAAATGCATGTGGGTATTCAAATGAAAGCTCTTGATGAGTGTAACATCGGGATGAGCTTATCTATTTAAAAACGTCAATATTTAAGAAAGTACAATGCAATTTAACAAAAGTCACTATTTAATAAAGCAAAAAGGTCGCTAGTTATTCTTAATAAATTAAAAGACAAAAAATTAATATTAATTACAAATTACATACCTGTGCAACGAAATCAGGAAACTTTTTAAACTGAGTGTAAATTTTTTCACCAATTTTAAAAAATCCTTCTGGCAAACTTACTTTAAAACCTTTCCAAATTCTATCCACACAAACCGGCTTTGGTATCTGTAATTATTAATCAATTAATAAAACACAATATTGATTAAATTAATAATATTTTTCTACTCACTTCTCGAGTTTGCTGCTTCGCTGCCATGTCAGTAGCGTTTAAATTAGCGGAACAGTTTAATAAAAAACTCTCACTACTCGGTCATCAGAAATAACTCGTCTCTCATCTTGAGACAGATGCAGTTCACGATACAGTTATCTTGCTGTTTACGTTATATTTTATTATCGTACTAAGTTGTACTAATCTACAAGATATTTAGACAGTATGATTTTTATATCAGTATTTTTTTCCCTATCATTAATAGTACGCTGATAAAACTTGATTTTCTACAAACAGCCACCTCTCTGTACAATTTGAATGACTAGCAGAATTTAATCATGTGTAACATAAATTTATATTGTTTGAGTTAGATAGTGTTTATTTTTTATTGTAACATCCAGTGAAATATTAATTGGATGATAAGTAATTAATGATAATGATAACTCGTTAAATGAAAATATATTAAGGTCAGAACAATGATTTATTTGTATACATTTTTTTCGTAGTTGTTTTTTACGAGATTAAATAATTCTTATCGAGAAAATTAAGAATTTAATAGAAAAAAATTTTATGGACATTTTAGTCGCGAATGCAATTTATTTATTTATTTATTTATTATTTATATATATCTTGTTAAGCACTCTCTGATGCTTCGCATCATGAGTCGTGCAATAGAATGATATCTAAGAAAATTTAAAATAAAATTTATTATCTAACAAATAGTTCTCGCCATAGCGTAAAGTCGATGCTTAGCAATTTTTCTTGAAGGTGTACATGGCATTTTATCTAAAAAACAAACACCGCCTAAAAGTCTAACTTCGTTTGATAGATTCTTTTCTACAAATTCGATTATTTCCTTCTCCGTAATCTGAAATTGATGATAACAATTAATGAAAATTAAAATGTCATTAAAGTTAGCCGACGTTCTAAATTTTTTGATTTTTTTTTTAATAATCAAATTAAAACAAAAAAATTAAAAAAAAAAATGCACTTACAGTTTTTGAAGTTTTTTAGACGTGCAATTTTTTTTTTATTTTTTTGTAATGATTTTTTCAATAAAAAAAAAATATAAAAATTTTTAAATGTCGGCTAACTTAATTTTCATAAATTAAAGTAGCAGATATTCAATAATTTTTAGAATTTTTTTAAGAAATAAATTAGTACAAAAAAAACTATTAAAAAAAAATTGACATGTAAAAATTGTAATAAATTAAAAATGCAATTTTTTAAAAATCATTTTTTGGAAGAAATTTTTTTGATAAATAAAATTAAAAAATTGAGAAGTGAGTGCTAACTTTAATATCATTAACAATAAAAAGTTATGAATATTTTTATTTATTTTTTGGAATGAAAATTTTTCTAGTGTCAAAACTTACATGCATTCCGGGAATTTTTGTGACAAAAGCCATTGGAACTTGGTAATGTTCAAAGCTTGGCTTAGCAACGACGGCTACTTCTGCAACTCCTGGACACCCTTCTATCACGTTTTCAACAGCTCTCGGTATTACATCAAATAAGTAACACCTTATAGAATCTTTAATTCTGGTTTCAATGAAGAAAACCCCGGCTTTGTCATGATATCCCAAATCTCCGCTGTGGTACCATCCTGAAATAAAAAATATTCTTTTAGTCCGATTCGTGTAAAATCGGTAAAATAATAACTCGTACCTAGAAAAAAATCAAGTAAATAAATTTGAAGAACTTTATCTTCTTAATTTGAGTGGAAGAATTCTTAAATTAAGGAATTTTTTTTGATTTAAGTGAATTTAAGACAATTAAACTCTTTAAAATTATTCTCTTAGTTATAAAGAATCTTTCTCTTCATTCAAGTTAATTTTTTTTTCAGTGTATATTTTTTAAAAAATTTTTACAGTAACATACCATCTGAATCGACGATTTCTTCAATTTTCGCTGGATTTTTCCAGTAATCAATCATTAATTTCGGACTTAGGATGCAGAGTTCCCCTTTTTCATTTGGACCCAAAATCTTATTAGTAACTGGATCAATAACTTTGATTTCTACGTTAAAAAATACTTTTCCGCAAGAGTCAAATTTATCAGATCTTGTTGACCCAATTGTCGCGGTACCAACTTCGGTAGCACCTATAAATTTTTAAAAATTAATAAAAATATAAAAAATAAATAAAGATCAAAGATACCGTAACGAGCAGAAAAATCCGCGTTCTTGAACAATCTTGGTAACATTCTTATAGTTTGTCCATTGGCCGCTGCACCACCGTAAGATACCAGTTTAACTGACGATAGATCGTACTTTTCTATGCCTTTTATTTTAATGAATCTATTTAATATTGGTGTTCCCATCCATAGTCGAGTGACCTACATCATTTTAAAAACGTCGTCAAAATATAAATAATTAATTAATTTAATTTAAAATTTGAACTAATAATTATATCTTTATATATTAAAAATAGGGTCGAATATCTTTTACTTTGAAACCTGTTCAACTACTGGGTACTTTACCTTGAGGAAGTTCGAGCGAATCTAATGTAAAAAATAATTTCCAACTTTGAGCTTTGAAATTCAGTATACGTATAAATAAATACGTAATTTATCTAATCCCAAAATTAAAAAAAGATTCACCGTTTAGTTACTTAGATATTAAATTTTAAAAATCACATATTTTATCTCCTTATACATGGGCTCTTATGGCGGACAAACGTTTTGTCGAGACTTTAATTATTTATTTCAATATTAACCTCCCAACTTTAACGGATAAAAAACTATACACGCAAAACTTGGATTGTTGCAAAATATAAAAACAATTTAATAATAATACATTACCGATATAATTTTTGAAATATTTAAAGTCAAATTTTATGTTTGTAACTCGTTTATCGTCAGCCATTTATTCGAATAAACATTTGACAACATCGCGTCAACAGCTGAGAAAAAACAAAAGGATAGAAATATAGTTACAGAGAGAGAAATGTTTAACTCACATACTCATCCACGTCTCAGGTTATGGGTACAATCAAGCGCGCTATTGCCAAATCTGTTTATTTATTCCGGCAAGTAATAAATACCAAAGTCATTTTATTACTTTACTTTATTAAATAAGTTAAAATCATCAATTATTAAATTGTTTAAATTATTTTAAATTAAAATAAAGAATTTTGACGGATATTGGGAAAACCAAAATTAAAAAAAATTTTAACACTATTTTGACTCATTAGTTACGCTCGAACTTGCTTAACTATATTTAAAAAAAAAAATTTTATCTAAATGACCTTATATTTCTCGATGATTTTACAAGCATCTTCTTCTGCCAAATTATCGCAAACAATCATGGTAGCTTTAAATATTATCGACCTCAATACCGTCCTAGTCCCAGATATCCAGCAGAGTCTAGAAAAATATAGATCTATCGACGGTATGTCATCATCCGCGTAATATCTGAGCATATGAGCGACAGAATGATAAGAGTGCAAGACCCCTTTTGGAAAACCTAACGTTCCAGAAGTGTAAACTAAAAAGACTGGGTCTTTCGGTTCCACTTTTGTACACTCAAATTTTTCTACATCTTCATTAGTTTGCGTTTTTAGTACATCCTCGAAAGACAAATAGCCATTTTTTTTTCCAAAAATTACAATTTGTAACGAACATCCCATCTTAGTTATTGTTTTAATTATTACGTCTGCATAGTTTTCGTCGATGAATAAAACTTTTGGCTGGGCCGTTTCGATTAAATTCTCCACGAGTTCTGTTGAGTAAAACTATTTTCATCCATTGGTTGTTAATTATTATCAAATCGAATTATAAATAACAAACCTTCGTCTAAGCAACTATCCCACCAAGGGTTAAAGATGGCTCCTATGTAAAAAGAAGCATAAACAGGTATGCAACTGTCCAAATGGATTTTTGAACAAACTCCAACGATATCTCCAGGAGAGACTCCTTGTTTTTTGAGCCACAATGCGCACCTTATACTTCTATCGCCCATATCTGTATAAGTGTCTTTTCTTCCCGTAGTTCCATCGATCTAAAACACGAATTTTCAGTTAATGATCAAGGTTTGATTGAATTATTAAATAATCTTATTAAAATACCTGTCCAATGAAATCTGGGTACTTTTTGAACTGATTAAGTATCCTTTCACCAATTTTGTAGTATCCGTCGGGCATTTCAACTTTCCCGCCTTTCCAAATTCCATTTTCATAAGTTGGTTCGGGAATCTTTTATATTAGATCAAAGTTGATAAATTTTTTAGTTTTTAATGCCTTAGTCAAAAAAATACTTACTTGAATTATTTCTTCAGACATATTAGCAGCGTTGTAGTTTTAATTTTTAAAAGTACAACTTTGGCTTATCTAAAGTCAATCTATGGCTTATATACTATTTCTAATTAGCTACTGCGCAAAAAATTTCTGTCCAAGCATTTGTTGGAAGTCGACAAACAAGTTTTTTATTTTTATGGAGGGTAGAGCAGGAATAGACTTAATAAATTATATAGTTTAATTAGCAGCTCGCCTTGAAAAACATGATTTTTTTTATCACTATAGCAATTATATTAGTATTTATTTCTCTGTTACATGATTATTGATAGTTTATTTTTCATTAAATAGTTCCTTAGTAAAAGAAAAACAAATTTATTAGTGAATAATGATGATGTGCAATAATTAGATAAGGAGGTATGTAAAAAAAAAGAAGCTGTAAAACGACTCTTTATTAAGATTTCTTTCTTAGTGATCAGATTTGTTGTTCAAAAATCAATTAAGAATCATTAAGACTTTAAGCTATAAAAGTTGTAATTAGCAGAGCAAAAATTAACAGGTGATAATTAATTGCCACACATTTTAAAGAGAATATTTAAAGATTGAAAATTTTTTACTCTTATGAATAGCCTGATAAGGCAAGATCAATCTATAGGTCTGATATGAAGGAAAAATTGTTAGAATTTTTCAACTAGAGCTTTAGCCATCCTGCGGAGTTCTTTTTTTGCAATCTTCTTTGATGTTGTGTAAGGCATTTTGTCGAGAAAACAAATACCGCCTCGAAGTTTCATTTTGTCATGTAGTTTTTTTTCTACAGCTTCATGAATTTCATTCTCAGTTATCTAAAAAAAATATTAGGAAATCCCCATAAAAGTTTTTCAAAATTTCCAGACTAAAATTAATATAATTAAGAGAATAAGGAAAATTTTGTCTTTAGTGTATTTATATGATACAAAGAGTTTTTTAAATTAAATTTAAGAATTGGAAAGGTCAAGACCTGAATTAGTGCCTTTTCAATGTTTCAAATGCTTTTTTTAAATTGTTAAGTTATTATAAGTTTTTGAAGTAGTTAGAAATAGATTAGAATTTCTTGATAAACAAAATTTATTTATTTATTTTGTTTTGTACAAGTCAATGTGGTGATAAGTCAAAAATTAATTTATATAATTAAGAGACTAAGAAAAATTTTTAACGAGTATATCTTTATCGTAAATTGGGTTTGATATTTTTTCAGCGATAGTCATTTATGATTTAAATAATTGAGAGAGTAAGGAAAATTTTCCGACGAGCTTATTATTATTTTTAAAGGAATTTTTGTAGTTTAATTTGGTATCATCAGAAAGGTCTTGATAAGAATTAGTGCCTAGGTTTTATATATTTTTTAGAAAATTTTTTATTTAAAGTTTTTGGAGGAGTTTTTAATAGTTTGTTGGTTCTATAAATTTATTCCATCACATTTGTCCATTAAATTATTTTTAATTGATCCGGTGATAGCACTATTATTTTCAAAATTTATTTAAAAACTACCCAGACTATGTATAGTGCCATAAATATCAAAAAATCATCAAGCCTAAATTTTCTTACTTATAATCCGTAATTTTCGGCAGTCACGTAGTGACTGCCTGCTAGTAAGACTTCAAATTTAAAATAAATTAATTTTTATATTAATCACTTAAAAAAATTAATTCAAAAATTATTTTTTTCAACCAAGTACTTATAATCTTTAAATAATTTTTCTAATGCTTAAAAAAATTTCTAATTAAAATTTTTAAGAAAGCTTAAATTAAGTAATGCAGTAACTAAAGCATAGTTACTTAAGGTTTCTAGTACCATCTTATTGAAAACTTACTTCCATTCCAGGAACTCTAGTAACAAAAGCCATAGGTTGTTCTAGATCTTCAAGGTTAGGTTTTGCAACAACAGCTACTTCAGCGACACCTGGTAACTCTTGTATCACATTTTCAATAGCCGCTGGCGCCACATGATGTAGGCGATATTTTATCAGCTCTTTTATTCTTTCAACAATAAAAATATCGCCGTCTTCGTCATAGTATCCCAAATCTCCAGAGCAGAACCAACCTAAAACAGAAAACATCAGCCAATTTCACTATTGAATCCTATATTGATGGTTTAATTAGCAATTTGTCTAACTCCTTATTTTTAAGAGGATGATTTTTTAACATTTTGATGTAGCAATAGTCCAATTATAAATTATTTGAATGATTCAAACCAAAATATTATACCTTTATTAGATATTAATGACATTAAATGGTTTTTTAAAGTAATAATAAATTTTGAACTAATTGTTTTTTTCGTACAAATAGAAGATTCTCTAAAAAGGAGTTAGACAATTTGCTAATTAGAACGTAATATAATCTTACCATTAGAATCAAAAACTTCTTCAGTCGCCAAAGGATTATTCCAATAGCAAGTCAATAGTGTTGGAGCTCTGCAATACAGCTCTCCTTCTTCATTTGGACCCAAAATTTTGTTTGTTTCTGGATCCACGATTTTTATTTCCACATTAGCTAGCGCTCTTCCACAGGAGACTAATCCTTTAGGAGCAATCACTTTAGGTGAATTGGGTCCTGTTACTACTGTTATTCCAAATTCGGTGCTACCTGTTGAATCATTATTTGAATAATTGAAAGTTAAATTATGAAATGTGGACAATAGATGTAATTAGTACCATAAAGAACGTGAATTTCAGCGTTTTTGAACAGTTTATGGAGAAATTTAGTTATTTCTTTTGATAGAACTCCTCCGCCGACCATTAGTAAACTTAGCGAGGATAAATCATAGTTCCAAACGTTCGGTCTCTTGCTAAACCTGTTGGCAAAACTTGTTCCCATCATTATTCTAGTAACCTATGATAAAAAAATTGAAAATTTCGGTTAATGTATTTTTTTTGAAAAAATCAGTTGATTGTAGAGAAGGTTTCTTTTAAAATTTTTGTCATTTAAGATATCAGCCATACTTTAGCAGAAGCTACCAAAAGATGTATTTAAAAAGAACATGTTTGAATATTTATTATCAATTGATCTCCAATGCCGATTCGACGTCTTTGTTATAAATGTAAAATACATGTTATCTAATCTATTAAGTCAGCGATATAGTTCAATTCAATAGTTCTTAATTTAGTTCTTATAGTTCTTTCTTAATTTAGTGAAAAAGTATGTTTTTACCATAATTGGTATTGTTTAAATTTTATTGTCTAAATTTTACTACTAAATCTAATTTTTATCTTATTAATCAAATTTTAATATCAATTACCACACTAATAAAAAAATTAACTTGACTCAAGAGCCAAAATCTTGAACCAAGAATACCATTTTGAAGAAAATGATTTTTTTAAGTCAGGAGAGTAAATTCTTGACTTAATTCTTCTTGAATTAAAAAATAATGTTTTTTTTTTTTGGATTATCTTTTTTAATTATCAAAAAAATGAATATATCATGCCTTATATTTTTCAATGAATCGACAAGCATCTTCTTCACTTGTATGATGAGAATTTATCATAGTATATTTGTAAAATATCGACCGCAACGTGACCATTATTCCCGATATCCAGCAGAGTGTAGAAAACCACAGAATAATTTGTGAAGTGTTATCAGTCGGATAATGGGATATTATATGAGCTAATGATCGATTAGAGTGCAAAGCTCCTTTGGGATTACTCGTTGTACCCGAAGTGTACATTATTATCGCTGGTTCTTCAGCTTCTGTATCGGTACACTCAAAAGTTGTCACTTGTTCATCATTTTGAGCTTTTAAAATATCCTCAAAGAATAACAGACCAGTTTTTTGTCCAAAAACGACAACAGGCAATGCATAGTTATTTTTTTCGAGTGTTTTCATTATTATTTCTGCAGATTCTTCATCGATAAACAACACTTTGGGGTTTGCTGTTTTCAAAAAATAGAGAACCAGTTCTGTCGAGAAAAATACTTACAGTATTTTTAAATACTAAATTTAAAGGATTATTAATTCAATTAGACCTTTATCATAAATACCTTCGTCTAAAGAACTGTCCCACCAAGGATTGAAAATTGCACCCATAAAAAAAGAAGCAAAGAAGGGTATGCAACTGTCTAAATGGTTTTTTGAACAAAAACCAACTACATCTCCGGTTTTTATTCCCTGTTTTTTGAGCCATAACGCACACCTGATGCTTCTGTCGCTCATCATTTGATAAGTGTCTTTTTTTCCACTCGCACCATCAATCTACAGTCAGAAATTTAGTGTCATTGCGTTAGAAAAATGTATTTTAAGGAGATCCGCGCGGAGTCAATTTTTTAAAACTTCCTGAAAAGCCTAATAATTAATAGAAAAATTAAAAAACAGGTTCCCGGGATATTTAATTAAATAATTAGGTTTGAAAATTGTAATTTTTACATGAATGGAGATTCCACCAGCCGGTATTTGGTTAAGAATTTAATGCAATTAACGATTTAAAAAAAATCTTATTTTCATTGAATTTGATTGAAAAAATAATAAGCTTTCGATTAAAATAATAAAAAAGTAGCTTTCCGAACGTATTACGGAGATATTTTATATTTTTTATGAAAAATCACTCGGAACTTGCGTTCCTTAAAGTCTTGTATTTGACTTGGCAACACCGCTTGCGCAGTTACTCGGCGTATAAGTAACCGCGGTTTTTTAAATGCTAGAAGATCTTATAGTCATTTTAGTTAGACAGTAAACATAAATAAATTTGAAGGTTAGGGAACTCTTGCGGTGTTGACAACACCGTGTTGTCAAGTGTATACCGGTAATTCAGAGTGCTATATTTTTTATTAGTCAATTAAATGTTAATAATTATTTAATGAGTAAATTTTTCGGAAATTTCCTCAAAAATGTTATAAATTAATTTAAAAATTAATTTTAAGATGTATAATAAGAGTACTTCTTCGTATTATTTTTTTATAGACATTCTTTACACTAGGAGGGTACTTGGATCTCTTTAAATATTTAACAAAATTTTTGGACGCAATAATGTTAATTTTTTTACTGTGAAGCAGTCAAATATTTTTTAGTGTCTCAAAAAATTATTAAATTACAAACCTGTCCTATAAAATCAGGATATTTTCTTAATTGTGCAAGAATTCTTTTTCCAATTCGATGATACCCTTCTGGAAAATTAATTTTTGTTCCTTTCCAAATTCCATTTTCAAACACAGCTTCCGGTACCTTTATGATTACAAAACTTCAAATTACTTGGAAAAATTTTCGTGTTAAAAAAATAAGCCAACCTCTTTTCCACTTTTTTGTTCCATGTTTGTTAAAACCGATCGATTAATTATAACTGAATAACTCCCGCTACTTGCTCAAAATAACTTATTGCATGATTTATTTATTACATAGTGTAGTAATCATCTTTCTGTGTACATCTTTTCGCAATACTTGACGTTGTTTACTCTCTGCTATCGTATCAAATGTTCATGACTTTCATTTTTATATCAATATTAAAAGCCGATGCAATAATTGTGCTCGTAACCTCGATTAGTGTAATCAAAAATCGAGTAACTTGAAAAAAAAAATCCACTATTCAATATTTTTATTATATGAATAATTTTAGAAGAATTTAAAGATCAGTAAAGAAAAATGGTCCTACATTAATGATTGACAACGACTATTATATATTATTGCAATTCTTTATTAAAATGTTCTAGGAACAACAAGAAATGTTACAGTACTTCAACAACCAATGAATATTTTTAATATTTAAGTGTATTATTCTGCTCAGCCCAAGAAATACAAACGAGTTCCAATCTCAAAAGTTTACTCCCTACCGTAGTCGCTCATGACCTTAGTAGTTTATGCGACTTTAAACAAATTAAAAAAAAAAAAAAGAAATGTTACACATTTTGCTATCAAAGTTGTGATTTTATTAGCTTAAGTTATTCTTCAAGCGAAGCTTTGACTATAGCGCGAAGTATCATGTTATTTATTTTTCCCGAATCTGTGCGAGGCATCGTCTCCAAAAATCGTATACCACCTCTTAATTTCATATAGTCCGGTAATTTCTTCTCCACAGCTCCGTTGATATCATCTTCTGTGACCTTAAATAAAGAATAGTCAACAATGAAGCTAAAGAGTGAATGCTTTCAAATAACTCATGTTGTATAAAAAATTCTCCTTTGAACTTACTTGCATTCCATGAGCAACGGTAACAAACGCCATAGGAACTTCATAGTAATCCGGATGTAGCCGAGGAACGACTGCCACTTCATCCACTCCCGGAACTTTTTTTATCACGTCGACAATTACTGAAGACAATGTTTTGTTGGTATAGATAGAAATGAATTCGTTAATTCTTGCAACGAAAAAAAAATCACCGTCGGTATCATAGTACCCCAGATCTCCGGTATGGTACCATCCTAAAAAACAATAAATTATTTTGAAATAGTCGCAAATTTATTTATCAGTCAGGTTCTTGAATATTATTTTTTAGTGCAGGAATTTACCTTCAGAGTCAACAGCATCAGCAGTTGCTTTCGGATTGTCCCAGTAGCCAGTCATCAACTTCGGCGTGCGTATGTAGACTTCTCCTTCTTCATTTGGCCCCAGAATTTTATTATTCTTCGAATCAACTACTTTTATTTCTACATTAGCCATTACTCTTCCAGCTGACATAACTTTAGAAAAGTCAACTTTCTTAGTCAGCGCTGTTCCAAATTCAGTTCCACCTGTAGCAGTAGATAATTTAACAATAACAGGTTTAAAAAATTGACAAATTAGTTAGTAAAAGTACCCACCGTAATGAGAATAAAGATCTGCATTGTAGAATAATTTTTGCAAAAATTTAATTGCTTCTTCGTCACTTTTTCCTCCGCCGTAAGCCACTAATTCTACTGACGAAAGATTGTAATTCAACAAATCTGGGCTCTTCATCAATCTGTAAGCTGTATATATCGTCATCCACAGTCGAGTGACCTGAAATAGTTATATATTGTCAGTATTTCATCCTCAAAATTTTCACGACTTTTTTTAAATTGATACTGACCTTAAACTTTTCGATTAATTCCAAACTTTCTCTTCCACTCAGATTGTCAGCAACAACTACAGTAGCTTTGAATATTACCGATCTAATGACTGTCCTAATTCCAGCGATCGTGTTGATTCCATAAAATCCGATTACAGTTGAAGGTTCCTCATCATTTTTATAGTACTTAAACATGTTGGCATAAGAACCGTAAGAGTGAAGGACTCCCTTCGGAAGATTAGTAGTTCCGGATGTATTGATGATTATGGTTGGATCTTGGGGTTTAACATCTGTGCATTTGAATTTATCGACTTCTTCATTATTCTGAGCTCTTAAAATGTCTGCAAAAGACAACAGACCATCCTTTTGCCCAAAAACGATGATCGGCATAGAATAACCCATTTTTTTAGCCGTTTCGACTACCATGTCTGCATTGTTTTGATTGATGAACATCACCTTAGGCTGTCGTGTGTCTATGTAATACCTCACGAGTTCTGTTAAATCAAAGAAATTTTAGTGAAGAATCATATAATTTTAGTCTAGGTCTAAAGATGCTTTATGGTTACCTTCATCCATGTATTTATGTGACATAGGACTGCAAATAGTACCGAGGTACAGAGAAGCGAACAATGGTATGCAACAGTCCAGCTGATTCTTTGAGCACAATCCAACGATATCTCCTTGGCGGATTCCCTGGTTGATTAGCCACAATGCGCATCTGATACTTCTATCACCCATACTCTTGTACGTATCTTCTTTTCCAGTAAGACTATCAATCTGTCATCAATCGAGTTAGCATTCGAAATTATATCTAAAATTATGCAACGTTAATAAATCTTATACCTGTCCTATGAAATCCGGATTTTGCTTGAATTGGTTAAGAATACGTTCTCCAAATTTGAAGTATCCTTCCGACAGGTCATCTCTAACGCCTTTCCAAATTCCATTTTGATAGATTGGTTGCGAATCCTACTCAGCAAATTTTAATCGTAAGCTATGTAAATCATTATATTATTTGAACGTTTTCAAATACTTACTTGGTATTTTAGAGCCATTATTGTACTTTGGAAATGCTGGAAAACTGTTCAATAAAAATTTAGATGTTGTTGAAGTTAATGATACGTTAATTTACTAAAGCGTATCATTTTCTCAATCTTAAGTGTCGTTTTGTTAATCACCACTCATATTTAGCTAGATCCATTCTTTCAATATATTTTTCATTAGAAGCCGACCAATCAGACCATTGGACACTTACTTAAGCACCTTGGTAAGGAATTGTGGAATTAATGATAGATACCACCGGAATTTGATCGGTTATTTTAATCTAAAGAGCATTAGAGACTAACATTAATGATGTTATTGATAAAAAAAAATCGTAAACAAATTTTACCCTCAGACTATCCTTAAAATTTTTTCCTTTAAACGATTATTATGGTCTAGAAGCTTGAATTTAAGGTCATTTTTGAAGTGTCGTAAAAAAAAAGGCAATCAATATTTTTACTATTAATTTTTTTATTATTTTAATAATCGAGAAAAAAATAAATAATTCATTTTATTAAACATTTCAAGTTGTACTAACAAACCAGTTTGTTAAATCTGTTATGTAAAATATATTAATTTAGGGTAATTAATTAATTTTACATTTAAAATATTTAATGTGTTTAAGTATTTGGTCCTAGCGTGTTAGGCTAATAGACCAGGAACTTCCGAGTTTTAATTTATTGAGAAAGATAGGTTTGTTTGAATAAATTGATGTAGTTGAATAATTTTAATACATATATTGTTTGAATCTAAAATTAATATCATAAGTTAAATTACAATAATTACAATTATAACACAGTGATTGAAGTTAACTTTTCTTTCATATAACGATTTTACAATATTACCAAATTCACAAATATTAATAATTTAAAATATACCTGATAAAAAATTTGATGAACCTTGTTGATTTAATTTATTTTAGTTGGTTTCACTTTACAATTTTACTTTACCTTTACAAATGTTTTACTTTTTATACAATAGATTTACACGTGGTCTATTGAGACTTATTTAAACTATGTACGATGTTAACACTAGGACGTCAGGACAACGAGGGAGATTTTTTGGTGACGATTGCAAGGTGTCGAATTTTAGGGTGTTACTAATTTCCACTTTGGGGGAAATAAATGACCAATTATTTGTCTATTTGCTTGGGCCCTTACCCTCTCTCTTAAATTTGTCTAAAAATGTTGCATGTCCCTCTACTTGGGTCAGAGTGCAACATGCTTTCTCACTTACTCTTATGTTCTATTATTCATCTATGTGTTTGTGTATACGTAAGCGCATTTACGCATAGACAAAGACATACATTTGTACTGTCTACATTAATTTATCTATTAAAATCATATGAATAAATATGTACTCGAATCTAACATCTCTTTCGTTTTCTTAGATTTAATTATTTATTTGTAGAAATATTTCTGTTTTGTCGTTTTATAATTTTGTTGTATTATTTTAGAATTTAATTGTTTAATATTTGTTTATTTTTAATTATTTAACTTTCAAGTTCTATTTTTTTATTTCTTTTTCATTTCATATTTAATTTTGTTGTCTAAAAATTATTTCGGAAAGTGCAATATTAAAATTTATTTCAATATTTTTCTCAACACTAAAATTCTGTCATTAAGTTATTCTAATTAATATCTTTCGGTTTAAAATAAATCTTTTATCTTATGTTCTTTATCATTACTTAAGTATTTCTTATTTTAAGTATAAGTGAGTTTGCTAACGTATAACAAAACCCTCATTTATCTATTTAATCTCTTTAAAATACCTGGGCCCTCAGACTAATTACGGGAATTTCCCTGGGCCTTTTGCAAAGATCGAACGAGACACTTAATGACCACTCTCGAATTATCTTTTACAATCGTTAAAATTTAAATAAAATTATACTCGATTTTTTATAATTAATAAATATGTAAAGAAAAATTTCTTTACATAACAAATCACAAAATCAATTTATTGTTCCTAACAAAATCATTTTGTTGCTATCACAAAATGACTTTGTTGTTGCAACAAAATGATTTTGTTGCTATTATAAAGTGATTTTTGTGGCAATAACAAAACTAATTTGTTGCTAAAATATTTTCCAAATCAGCTGTGTAACTGATTATAGCGTATTTTTAAATGTATTTTTATAAAATTTACTGTAACAAATTTAATTGTTGTTGCAATAAATTCTCATTGTTATTATTACAAATTCTCTCTATTACTTCAACAAATTGTCTTTGTTACTCCAACAAATCCTCTTTATTATTTTAATAGAATAATTTTGCTATCTTAACAAAAAAAAAATTGTTATACCAACTAAAGTATTTTGTCGAATCAAATTAAAGATTTTGCTGTAGTAACAAAACTTTTTTGTTGTTATAACATATCAATAACTTGTTATAACTTAAATTTTGTTATTTTAACATATAATTTGTTATCCCTATGTTAACAAATTCATTTGCTACCATAACATATCTTACCAAAAATTCCATAAATTTTAAGTTGTCTACATATTTTAGCATCATTCTTTAAGTATAAACGGTAAAATATTTTTTGTGATAACCATAGAAATTTTTAAAAGTGTATTTACAACATTACTACTGTTTGATTATGTATTTCGAAATGTATGTTTTCTTAATACAATTTTAATAACAATAATATTATGTATTTAATATTGATGAATCTGGTCCCAGCAAGATCGTGAGGAAGTTGAACTGGAGTGAAGTTAGCCTTTGTGGTTGCCTGGAGATGATCTCTGGAGGGAGCCTGACTTCCAACCGTGCGAAGCTGGCTTATAGAGGTGAAAGGAGTTCGGAATGAATTCGTGGACTCGGTTTTGAGTAATTGTTTACTCGTACACTCGTTTGCTCGTTCGCTCGTTCGCTCGTACGCTCGTACGCTCGTTCGCTCGTTCGCTTGTAAGCTCATACGCTCGTTTTAAAAATGATCTGTAAATCGAAGTGAACAACGTAGCTTGATGTGAATTTGAATAAAGATTGCGAGAAATTGAAAGTGGATAGATTGTGGAGAGATAGTGGACTGTATGATCGGGTAATGATTCGAATTTGAGATTCAGATTTTTGAATAGGTTTGCATTGATTGGATGAAGTTTATGTGAAATCGAAGAATGAAAGGAAGTTGGTTGGAATAGTTGATTTGTATAGATTGTAGTAGTTCAATCTCGATAATCGTTTGAATTTCATGTATGTAATGGGATGTAACTCAGAAAGGGCTCAAAATGACAATGCACATGAACAGTTTGAGAACTTGCTCGTGAAGTCTCAACTCGACTCAAACTCAGTATTTGTATTGTGCATGAAATATGAAATATGTACAGCATCACAAAGAGCGTATCGTAATTGAATATGAATTGAAATAGTAACTCGGCTCAGCAGGGGCTCAAAGTGACACTGTACATGAATAGTTGGAGAACTTGCTCGTGAAGTCTCAACTCGACTCAGACTCAGTATTTGTATTATGCATGGAATGTGAAAGATGTGCAATATCATAATGAGCGTATTGTATTTGAATGTGAAATGAAATAGTAACTTAGTTCAGCACCGGTGGGCGGTTTGGGGCTGAATGCCGGACCGACATCCTCCCGACGCTGAGGGAAGTGTTGTATTGAATATGCATGCAAGTATAAATTTGGTTCGTACCTTTTTGGTATTTTAAGTTTACTAAAATACAATACCATGTGCTGCTTGAGCTCTTGAACGAATAATGAATGTATTGAATGTAGCGGTCTGAGCTGGTGGCTGTAGAGTTATGGTGATGGTGGTGAATCGACGTCGTAGTGAACTTCAATCACAGATTCCCAGGTAGGAAAGAACAACTGGACAAGGCTTGGACCAAGCCTGGGCCAAGCGTCACCAGCCTTTGGGTAAGGCTTGGCACGAGCCTTGGCTAAACATTGGGCCAAGGCTCGGTCCAAGCCTAGGATGATAACTATGTCCCCAAGCCTTGGGAAACCAAAACACAAGGCTTGGGCCGAGTCTTGGGAAACAAATGGCCCAGGGCTCGGACCAAGCCTTGGGGAACTAATTTGCCAGGACTAAAAAAAATGCAAACATTATTAAAAAATTAAATTTGATTTTAATTGTATTCGTGATTTTACGGTTTATTATCAGCTTTACGTTATCGTATCTCGCGATTACACCAGATTACCTTGAAAAAATCTTTGCTCACGATGGGAATCGAACCTGGGTCACCCGCGTTAAAGTCTCGAACTGTACTGACTTCGCTGCACTTCGTAGTAACACTAACAGATTAGTTTTAGTTATTTAAACATCACTCAGTCATTTTGCTTTATTACATGATGTTCCATAATTAAAATTGAACTTATAACTGCTAAAAATTTTGTATAGTTTAGATAATATAATTTGTTGACAGAATACAGTTATGAAAAGTATTTTTTTTTAATTCATTTGATTTTAACGAAATAATTAAATTTTCTATTACCAAAAATAATTACATGATCATAATTGAGTACATCTAAATTAAGAAATTGTCACTTTTAATTTATAGAAAAGTAACTACTTAGTATAATTTCATTCAATAATTTTTTTTTACGAAATGTTCTTACTATTATTTAAGATAATGTGACTATAAATAATGAATAATTGAAGGATTTTTTAGCGTTAGATTATCTTCATAAAAAATTAATATTTTTTATCATTGAAAAAAATTTTTTTATGATTCAATTAAAGCACCAAGCTAGTTCTGAATTTATATTTGGTCCGATAGTAACTTCCCAAGGCTCAATTTGGAAATATCGAACCATTGAGCCAAGTCTCAAGCTAGACCCGGGCCAAGCCTCGGGTGTCAGTGACTTCCCAAAACTATAGTTTCACTGATAGATATATTTGTAGAAGTAATTTGTATATTTATAAGAGAGTGATAAAACTGATAAACAAACTTACTTGTTAACAATTTTTTTCAATATTTTTTTTTGGAGAGAAATAAACATTTTTAAAATATTCACAATATGTATCAGTATTAAATTTATCATTTTTTATTCACATGG